CTTCCAAAACAGACAGACCTCTAGCTCAGTGGTTCCCAAAAGGGGGTATGTGTACCCCTAGTGGTCCATAAGTGCATTGCAAGGGGTACATTAAAATATTGTATTTCTTAAGTCAGTGGTTCCCAAAGATTTTCTTCTGGGCCCCCCTTTGGATTACAATAAAATTTCCACGACCCCCCATCACCCCCCCAGTCAAGCAAGCGCTGTTTTTTTTTTTTTTTTTTTTTTTTTTTTCTTGCCCCACACTTTGGGAACCACTGTCTTAAGTAGTGAAATGAAATAGGGCTCTAATCTATTCTTCTTTCAGAGGACCCAACAAAAAAATTAAACAAGCTTTTATCAACCAAAAAGTAAGTATTTCATATATGTTTGAGTTCACCTTCAGCTTTGACACACATCCTAAACCAAGCAGAGGAACAGACTGGATGTAGAGAACAGCCTGGGATCAACTGTTTGTCACACTGAGCTATCGGAGCTCATCAAAGCTGTCCAGGTGTCTTGATGAAAACAAAATAAAACTAATTAAGTCAGTGTAACTATATTTTTTTGTTCTGCATTTTGTTCCCTATTTTGGTCTCTATTATAATGAAGTTAGGTTCTGACTTCGGTATTACAGAAGCTCATAACAATTAGCTTTGGGTCATAATATCAGACAGTAGTAATCTCCTATTTAACCTCCACATCAGCCTCCAGCTCTTCACTGACTATCGTTAAAATTTCCCTTACCCTAAAATCATCACAGCATGGCTATAAAGCTGGAACTTTTTTCTCTCTCTCCCCCCTGGGGGGTTGGAGTAGCTCATGTTGGTGTTAGTGTTTTACTGAACAACCAAGAAACTCTTTTTAATGAGGGAAAAAATAAAATAAAATAAAAAAACATACATCTCAAAATGTTCCAAGCAGAGAAGACACGCATGGAGTGCTCCACGTTTCTTCCTATAACATCTGACCAACTAAACTTACTTTCAAAGCAGCTCAAGATCCTTGGCTACTTAAATGAACTGATGCCATCCTTATTGCGGTTGAAGCAAAAAGCTTCAATGCAAAGGCATAGTTTAATCTTAATCCATGAAAACTTCAGCAGGGTTTCATAACAAACTCACTGTTCCACCTCTGTTGTTCCCTGTGTACATCAGTCATGTTTTCTCCCCTTATTCACTAAGCAGCACTAGAGTCCTCTCAATAGAAGCAGTTTTTTGATAAAAGCTATTTTATTAAGGCACCCTTGAAACTATAACATTAACTTTGGTCTTAACATATTGGACTACATACAATTCTAGAAAATGTCAATATCATGTCATCAAAACTTTATATAAAGCTGATGAAGAACAGGAAGAACTGATCAGTAACAGCAGCATCTAATTTCTCTTTGGGAATATTTTTTATTGGATAAAAAAAAAATGTTCAAAGCAAACTAAATGCGCCTTTTAGAAGTTTTTTTTGTGATTTTTTTTTTTTTGTACCTTCATACACTTTAAAGATAAAGTCCTTTAATATCAAATAAAAGTAATCATTTCCTCATGAATGTTTGCAAGCTGTTAATAATGTAAGTTATAATTAGAGCCTATGTGACATGTTTTGATTAAGAGATAACTGGATCAAGTGCATAGTGTTTTAAAATTTTGAAGTTACATTGATCCCATAATATTTTTAAAGAATACAAATCTGTTAAACTATTACATTAGTATTACAAGAGTTCTTGATAAAGTTTGAATTAACATATCTCAGACAGAAGTATATTTTGCTGAAATTCCTGAACAAAGCATTGTTTTATATATACAACTTTTTACATTTCTTTGCCTTCTCTCACAATTTCTTTTTAGTTGCTGGACAGACACCAAAATATTTACTGCAGGGGCAAACGGTCAGCTTTGTTACTGACATCAGAGAACCACCTAATGAAATATTGTGGAAGCATGATGGAAATAAAGTAGTGGAGTTTGATGGCAGCGAGCAGAAAGCCTTTGGGTCATATGAACACCGAGTCACTCTTGACTGGCATTCTGCAGATCTAACCATAAGCAACCTCAGATATGAAGACAGTGGACTGTATGAGCTGGAGACTTACATTAACAACAAACTGGACCGCAAACAGTATCAACTGGAAGTCATTGGTAAGTTCTTCTTTTTTGCCCTTTTTAACCTTTCTAACAATAACTTCTGACAGCATTGTTTATATGGACACTGAATTTACTGTGTTTCTAAAGGAACCATGATTTTGGGTTAAAGCAGATTCAATCATTTGAATGCTTGTAAAACTATGGTAAAGGGCTGGTTATACTCCTTCCAGCAGTGTGTCGCAGTGAGCTGTCGCAGATATTTTTGATTTATGCCCAAGTTTTAAGCATGGTCTGCGCTATGTTATTCCAAACCACAATGCAAGAGGGACAATCCCGAACTAGCTTTGGGTCAAGATGCGGCCGAGGCGGTGAGGATGTGGGGGCAAGTTTGTGCTTCAACGGAGGGACATGAGGGCGAAAAAGAGCAGAGATCCAGGAGGAAAAAGGGTCCCAGCGTTCTTGTGCACCTCGCTCTTCTAGCTGGTCAAACTTCACGAGTCGTTTTCCACAATGGCGGTCATACAAACAAAACAAGCCCGTAAGGTACTAAACAGGAAATATGCACCGTGTAGAGCGGATGTAGATTTGACCAATCACGGGCCTCCTGTTTGCGGCACTTTCTGCTGTCGCCTACAATTTTGGAGAGGTGCAGCAGAGTGTCTGCAGCAGGTAAGGAGCCACATATGCATTCACTGTGACACACACGCAGAAAACCTTGTTTGTGACTATAAATCATCCTTAAGTCTTAAAACTTAAATAAAAAATTTGGTTTCTGTACACTCTAGGCTTGCAGACATGTGAATGAAATTACTTTAATCACAGAATAACACACAAAACGTCTTGCAATTTAATCTTAATGCCCTTAAACTTGTGTGAGGATGTTACATGGCTTATGGGGCAGTTTCATGACACTGAAAACGTGTGGCTGCCCCATGTAAATGATTTGTATCCTACAATTAAGTTAAATAAATTTGTAACCTATGATTTACTGCAAAATGTAATTTCACTTTTAATTTTTTGGCATGATTTAAATGTTCAGGTGTGATAAATGTAAGCTCCTATCCAATATTGTACTTGCCCATTTGAGAGGACTTTTTACCCTCTATTATCCACACTACTAATATCGATCTAAGTGAATGCTATCAGTTGTGGGGATCCTAAAGCTTAGGAAGATAAGATACAGATAAGGATGACAGAAACCAGAAGAAAAGGCGAGAGGAATATGTTGGGTAATAGTAATGGTATCACAGTATAGTAACATTGTAAGGGTTTTGTTTTGTAATATTGTTCATTCCTAATTTTTACAGTCATTTAGACCTTAGATAATATTTTTGTTGTTTGGTTGCTACAATAGTGCCACATTAAATTACTCTACCACTCCCCACAGACTGTCCAGATATAAAAAGGAGTTTTATCTATCAATAAGTTACCTGCAATCAACCTTTGATCCGAAAATGTTGGTTGCCAAATTTAAAAGGGGAAGACGGTGTTTAATTCAGTGTCTCAAAATGTTTTTAGATTACTGTTAAGTTGATGAAAGTACTTCAGATAATTTTTTATAAATTAAATAATTCACATGTAGTTCCTATTTTTTTAGTTACACAATTTGTATAATTAAAATGATAATGCATTTTTCTCTGATGGCTTGTTTTATTTTTTGTGATATTTTAGATAAAGTGGCCAAGCCTGAAATATCCTGCAAAATAATAAATGCAACCAGTCCTGATAAATCTGGGAGCAAGGCCACTTTGACATGCTCTTCAAAATCCCATGATCCTCAGTCTTTATTGACATTTCAGTGGAGCTCTGCAACAAACTCACACCATGTACCAGAGATAATAATATCCCTCGGAGATGTTAATGATGATCACATCTACAATTGTACTGTAAGCAACCCACTTTCTAAAGAATCTGCAGTGTTTCAGGCAAAGGACTGCTACCCTGGTAAGACATCAGCCTTTCCTTTTGGAAACGTTAAGTCTTTAGAGGGCTTAGTAAAGACTGAACTGCTACATAAAAGCAAATAAAATATTTAATTGAGGTATTTTTTTTAAATATTGTAATATAAGTTTGAATTATAGTTTTTTGAATGTTAAGTTTTAGTATTTATGAACTCTTTCTACAACGCTGTTGTTGTTTTTTTTTATATTGACTGAACTCTGTTTTCCTCCTCACATTTACAGAGAGCAATTCCGGAAATATGGCTGGTATAATTATTGGCATTTTATTGCTAATTATTATTATCGGTGTTTTGGTGTTCTTCATTCGCACTAAAAAAGGTACAGTAATAAATTAATAATAACATGTGTCCATGTAGATTTCACAAAAAAAAGATTATTAAAAGAAATTGAAAATTTTGAGAACTGTGGTATGTTTATGGGGAATCAGGATTACAGTTAATTTTACTTATATATATATATATATATATATATATATATATATATATATATATATATATATATTATACCCCAATTAACAGCTCCTGTCATTTCAAGGTGCTTTATAGACATTTGAGTCAAATCATACAGACTGATTGCTTTAAGGCTTCTATCTCAGGAAATCCCGTATCCAGTACTTGAAATTGCAGGATTTGTTCCTCCTAGATGAGCATGTAGCAACAATAGACATTTTGTTGCATTATGTTTATTATGTAGCATGAGCATGTATATAGTGACAGTGGAGGAGAAAATTTCATTTTATAAGTAATGAACATTTTCAGAATCTTCTCTGTTTATTTTTAACAGATAACGTTTGGTTATCTAACATAACCCCAGTTCTTAGAATAATATGAGCGAGGTGTCTCGCTATGGGATGCAGCCTCCTGCAGCCCTGATAGAAGCATCTATCTCAATCTGCCAATCCTGATTGGCCGGTGGAAGTGCCCGTCATACGCCACGCCCCGTAGCTCCGACTACTAAAGCGTGTGCGGATCACGGCACTTCAATTGAACAAGCAAACCTCTTCTCACCGCCCTGCAAGAAAGGTCGTCTGGCGAGACACCTCGCTCATATTATTCTAAGAACTGGGGTTATGTTAGATAACCAAACGTTCTTTTTCATAATATTCACTCG